CTAACCCTACCCTGAATCTTGACTTCACAGTTAACACTAGTCTTTACCTTAACTCCAAACTCGATCCCGACGTACCTTACCGTCAAATTTAAGTCTAGCCTTGAACCCGATCCCTAACCTAGCCCTAACCCTAATTTCAATGGAAATTGGCTCAACAGGCGATTTTTATTCTCATGCCCCGTTTGGAGGGCCATGTGTGTAAGTCCTACCGTATGACGGTTTAACAAGAAGTGCCTGGGGAACAAACATGCGATATAGGGGCACTTTTGACCGGACACAGGAAGATAACAGGTACAACAAGTCTGCTTCTTGAAGCGAACATGAGCCTAGACAATTCAGTTGTCGACTTCAATGCGTGGGTACCTAAGACAAAACACAACCTAGTCAACAGTGATTGTTGACGATGGCAATTTTAAAAATTATTAAAAAATAAAAGCCTTTAATGGTAAGCACTTTTCTTGTCACTTAGTGAAAAACATTACTTTTCGGTGTTTCTAGCACATCCAACATCAACTAAAGATTCCATGTCGAGCACAAAGATAAGCTTTCCGAACGGCGACCAATCGGGTTTCCGTCTATATGGGATCAGTTATTGAATAAATTTTTGACGATATACGGACCGTTTGGAAGTCACAAGGCATAGTTTTCTTTAAAGCCAGGACTAATTTGATACATTCTCCCTATCTTCCCATTTTGTTCCATTCATTTATGGGTTTTACCACCGTCAACACCTACTACAGAAAGAAAACCCAGCATGAAAACACGCTTTGAGGTCACATTTTTGAGAGCTTGGAGTTCGGCTTGAACAGCTTCCGCGGTCAAAAGAAGAGTTTACTGTAGATCCGTTTTATGAAAGAACAATAGATCTGATGAGGGCGAAATCCGACCTTTTTTATACCCCAGTAATCGCCTATGCTACTGAAATTCGCAGGTCAAAACTGAGTGTTTATGCGCACTATGTTTTAAGCGAACATCATTACAAAAGGAAAAGGTTGAAGTTTATTCCTTCCGCGTCCATGAAAATCAGTCAGCCTGGTTCGAGTGATATCTACTATAACTATTTCCTGAAATTTCACTTTTCAGTGAGTCAATAATTTTTCGTCAGCAAATCCAACTATGCTTTCCTTCCAACAACGGTCATCTCTTTAATAGTTCGGCCGTCGCACATGATACAGCCTGGGTGGAGTTCGCGTTAGAGGAATTTTCTTGTGCAATTGACGACATTTTCTCAGATATCACATCTATCGTGAATCAAAAGTCACGAGACAAGGCAAAAAGTTGTGCGCTCGAAGAAATTGAGTTAAAGTCAGTAAAAACATCTACTATGCAGGAGAGTAAGAAGAAGGCAAGGAACGGAGGCGTCTTCAAAAACAACTTTGACATAGTAAACCAGGTGATTTTCCACTGGAGTAGAACGTTTAGCCTAAGTAAAAATCTCCTCCAGATGCATGCGACCGTAGCGTACAGTAGGTGGGCTAACTCATGAAATGTCGGCCAATATTTCGAAATGTATTCCCGTTTCGAAAAGATTAATTAAGTAGAGTCGTAAAGCTAATGATTTTGCAGCATAATTCTATAATAATCCATTTACCACAGGGTGTCGGTTTTCGAATGAAATTCTTTATGACAGTATGCAGGAACTATGCTCTGAAAAAATGACTACTTATGTAGCATAAAATTTTATCATTAATTTTCAAAGGCCTTAAAAATGCAACTATATTGCATGGAAAATATGCATTAAAACATTCATTTTTTCACTCTTTCGGTAGAAAATTACGTCTTTTTCCAATTTTATACTCGAAGGAACGGTATGTTTCGGTTAACAAAAACTTTTCCAGTGTTGAATAATTTTGAACCCGATCTGCCGTTGCACTTGCATTCAGGATTGTTAAACTACAAGCCGTATATTTTCTGCGTATGGAAAACCATACATTTCTGTACGGAATTAAGAGAAGAAAATGTGGGGTTCATCAAATTTAGCAGTGGATTCGAGTCATATTGCTAACTTTACAAGCCACATTAGTAAATGCAGAGACATGACGTTTTATGAATGGTCATTTCACGGTATTAAAAAATCGCACAGTTAGAAACTTTTTTAAAACCAAATTATACCCTTCCTAGGAGTATAAAATAGGAAAAAAACGTCATTTTTCGCCGCCTGCGCAAAAGGGTGAATATTTTTATGCGTGTTATCCATGACATATAATGGAATGTTTAAGGGCATCGAAAATCAGTGACAAAATTGCATGCTTACAGAAGTCATTTTCCACACAGTATACTTTTTGCATAAAGCCGGAAAGAAGTTATTTCGAAAGCCGGCATCCTGTGGTAACTGAGTTATTATCTACTTATGCTGCATGATTATTATTTTAACAAGCCCACTTAATTAATATTTTCGAAACGGGAACGCATTTCGAAATTACGGCTGAAATTTCATGAGTTAGCCCACCTACTGTATATCTGAAGTGTTTTTCACTAGATTCCACATCATAAAACCTGGATTCTGGATGTAGTGATTCATTTCGGGAACCTCTCGTAGCAGATTTTTGGATAAGAGTTCACTTATAGAGAAGGCGACCATCACGTCAAATGACTGTTTCTGTACTGCCGCCGTCAGGAGTTAAACAAAGCTACATTATGCAGGTGCCCTCTTACAGCACTAAACATGCAAACCGTTGACATAGCGATGGTATTAAAAAAGCATCTGACAGGCATAGAGTGTATTAAAGAAGAACTAGTATTGACGGATAAATGACACTAAACACCAAGACCAGAGTCAGTCCTAGTAGGAAAAAATGCAATTCGACAACGAAGGAAAACACAGGCGACTTAGAATCGTACTAAATGGACTCCCTAGAAAACGGGAAATAGGCGAGATATCTTCGCCGAGCAAGACTTCCGACGTTCGCAATCTTTACCTTCATGGTTATTGCAAAACCTGTCGAATATGGCACTAAACTACATCCCACTTAATACTATGTCTCACTGAATTTCTGGATTCGGTATTGGCTTAATAAATAGTTTGTGGAGGTCAAAAGGTGACATCCAGCTGAACTACTTGAAATTCAACTGCGCTACTTGTGCACAATTCGTGAGATAATTAAAGATTGAACTTAATGGATGGGAAGATAGAATTTTTTGGTGCATTTTATGCTGCATTCGATTTTTAATGGCCGAGCGTGTTGTTTAAGTAAATTACGGCATAGGAAAAAGGTCACTTTTCTGTGTTAATAATATTCGAATTTGATAGGTTCGAATGTCGCCGATGGTTGGACAGAAAAAAAACGGCGGTATCAGTGAACAGTTTCTAAAAACACATGAATCTGTGGAAGGACTCTCTGCGTAGGTTGGAGTCCGTTGAGGTTCAGGTATCTGCGGCTGTTCCATGATTATGCATATGAGAATACGAAGTGCTTCCAAACTGGTCGAAACTGTGCTAGCCTTCCACAACAGCGTTTACGTAATTTCAATTTATTCTAACCGGCCTCCATTTACATAGGTATCTGTGCGTAGTTTGGGCAGTTAATTCTTGGTGAAGAAACACCTGTAGACAAAGTCCCTTGGAGAGTGTGTGGATTCCGTATATCCTAATTATTAAGGCGAAAAGATTACCAGTTAACTGGTGGAGGAAAGTGAATTTGACAGATAGTTCCTTTGCTGATCTTCATAGTTCTTTGTATCTTACACTTGACCTGATTGAAGTATGGCTGTTGCTGTCACCAGATCACGTGTTGACTGAATGACTAAGTCTTAAATCGAAGGACTCCCTAGCCTGCGGTTTGCGACATGCTTAAGTAATGGCCAAAGTTGAGTTTGAGTTGGCTATTTTTGTCTCCCCTATTTCGTACTTCTCCGACTATGTAGGTAGCGGGCTTTAGAAACAATTAGTGCAATGTCCTGCGTGCGTGGAATTAAGCACATCATAAGAAAACTTCAGGTATATCGGTCAGTCGCAGCCAGTCTTGTTAACCATTAGCAAATTTTCAGTATTTCTTCGTGTGAAAGTCAATTTACCCTGAGAAAAAGGAAAAAAACTCAAGAACTGACGTACCATCTTATCTGTAAATACGAAGGAGCACATGTAACAGCGTGAATGGCTTTTAGTGATGTTTGCGGAGGAGCCATCTAGGCCTGCCTCTTCGAGAAGTAGAATGTCTGGCTACTTCGAGTGCAAGAAACCATCAAATGGAATTTGATCGGATGTGGTTATGCAGCCCCACCTGAAGTAAGCAAACCCCAGTCACTTCTAATACGGGACCGATGGTAATAGGGGTTTTTACAGGTGGGGCCGGGGAACGCACAGGCGATGAGGCCAAGTAGTTGAATGAAAAAGAAAAGTTATCAGAAATGCGCGATTGTACTTTGAATGGTTGAGAAGTAGTTGCGCTAACCCCTAACCCTAACCGTAACTCCTAACTATGGCCCCTAATCCTAAACTCTAACCCCTAACCCTAACACTAAGCTCTCACCCCTAACCCCTGATCCGAACCCTTCACCATAACTCTTAACCATAGCCCCTAACCTTTATCCTTGACCCCAACCCCAGCGATATTGTGTCCATCAGGTGGGGCTACCAAACCATTCACATAGCATCGTACCTGTCCATTTACCGGGAAGACGGGTTGCCCGTTAGCCTAGCTGCTGGCTACCCGGCGCGTCCACAGGTGGCGGATAGTGGGACGACCTTCAGTGAAGGTTAGCTGCGAAATAAGCAGACCCAGGTCTGACGAATAAGCAGTCGCGGACCAGCAGCGACATTGCTACCAGGGTGCGGTGGGCTGAAGTCTGGCACGCTGAAAGCCTTATAAAATGCCGCAAAGCCCAATGACGGCATTGTGACATGGCGACCGTAAACCACCATTAAATAAGTTTACTTGCCACCGCTGCCTTGTGGTTAGGTTTTCAAGCCAAAGCGCTAGAGGAGACAACCTCGAACAAACAATCCGAGCGGTTGTTGGGGACCCGCCCGTATTCGAAATTCCCAAGAAACCTCATGCAACATGTCCGATCACAGTACTACGACCCATGCTACGGCGTCCGCGGGAACCGACGCGCTCCGCAACCCTAGTCCAGTGGTGCGGGCGAATAGTATTCGAGCTGGACTACTCAATCGTGGAAGGACTCCCGGTATTGGATGCTGGAATGTACGAACATTCCTGGACCCTGGTACCCAAAGTCTGACCGCACGCAGCCTTCATCAGTACAACGTGGATATCTGCTGTCTGTCTGAGGTACGACTCCCTGACTCGGGCTCTCGTGAAATAAAGATCCCGGGAGTTGAATCCCACTTCACCCTGTACCACAGCGGCCCCCGCGATTCCTCTGGTCGACACGGTGTGGCGATCGCCTTATCACAACAAGCGGAGCTTACGCTACTTGCTTGGGAACCAGTAAATGACCGGATGGCCTACGTGCGACTGAAGGGTCACTTCACGAACATCTCCATCGTCGCTGTGTACGCACCAACTTCGGCTGCCGAACAGCGCGATAAAGAGGCGTTTTACTCTCAGTTGCAACCGCTAGTTGAAAGACTGCCTCGCCGCGATCTGCTGATTGTTGCTGACGATTGGAATGGTCGAACTGGACCTGGCGACCCCACAACCAGTCATCTTCTTGGCCGTTTTGGGCTTGGTTCTCGATGTGAAAATGGTGAGAGATTGCTGAACTTCGCTGATCGAAACCGACTGCTTGTCACTAACACATACTTCCAGCATCGAAAAAAACATCTGCTGACCTGGTATTCAAACGACGGTCGTACGGCCAGTCAGACTGACTACATACTAGTTAGCTCAAGGTTCCGCAGCTGGCTTCACGATAGCAGATCGATGCGTGGTGCCGAGACTGGTAACACCCATGGGTCGGATCATGTCCTCGTCCGTACACGCCTGAAAGTTCACCTCTCATCCGCACCAAAAATGCCACGTCCTAGACGCCTCAATGTCGCAAAAATCCGGCAAGCCAGCACTGCCGAGGCCCTAAGCAGAGAAATCCGGACCTGTTTTACGGCCCGAGTCGACGGAGAAGTCAGTAACCAGTGGTCGTCACTGAAGACATCAGTCTATGGGGCAGCTGAGAAAATCCTTGGATACACCCAGCGACGCCGCAGTGACTGGATCAGTGGAAGAACCTGCAGTTGTCTGCTCAGACGGCTAGAGCCAGGTCCCGCAACGATGACTACTTCCGCCAACTTCGGAAGATGACGGCAAAATCGGCCAGGGATGACCGGAAACAATATTGGGCTGAAATAGCGACATCCATGGAACAGGCCTCGAAAGTTGGTGACACTCGAAAGCTCTACCGTCTGATCCGCCAAGTTAGCGGTAAGCCCTCTACACTGAGTGACTCTGTTCGCGATGTGAACGGCGGTTTTATTGCTGACAACTCGGCCAAAGTCGAGCGCTGGCGTGAGCACTTTGAGCACCATCTCAACTTCGATACCCAACCTGCATCGCCCTTGTTCTCCTCCTCAGCGGAGTTTCTTCCCTCTCTTACCTATGCAGTGCCATGCGATCCCCCCTCCGAGGAAGAAGTCGCCGATGCCAGACGAAAGTTGCGCAACAATAAGGCACCCGGAGAGGACGGTATACCCGCTGAAAACTTTAAGTCTTGTGTCGACACTCTGGCGCCCTGGCTCCATGAGGTGGTTGAACGTGCGTGGAGAGACGAGCTTGTTCCTGATGGCTGGGGCTTAGGCATCCTTGTACCTATCCTCAAGAAGGGAGATAAGACGAGATGCGAGAACTACCGCGGCATAAGTCTCATCGACGTTGCTGCGAAGATCTTCGCTATTGTCCTACTCAGACGATTCCAGGCTGTGCGTGACTCAAGGACGAGGCCCAACCAAGCCGGATTTCGTGCTGGACGTGGATGCGCAGATCTGATATTCACACTGAGGCGAATTCTCGAATTTCTCTATAGCTACCAACAACCGACGGCCGTCTGCTTCGTTGACTTTGCCGCCGCGTTCGATTCCGTTCACCGTGAGTCCCTGTGGCGGATAATGGCGCTAGATGGTGTACCGGCAAAAATCATCGCCATGATCAAGGCCTACTATCGTTCCACTACTGCGAGAGTCCTGGTCCGTAACAATCTTTCCCAACCGTTCGGTATTCGGTCTGGCGTCCGACAGGGTTGTATACTGTCACCCATACTGTTCAACTACGCTATTGACTGGATCCTCGGGAGGGCCCTACGCGACAGTGACGGTGTTGAATTTGCACCCGGACATCAACTGACTGATCTCGACTATGCCGATGATATCGTCTTACTTGCTTCAAGTTTTGGTGATCTGCAGTCTATGGTGTCACGAGTGAACGAGGTCGCTAAATCAGTCGATTTGTCCATAAACGCTGGGAAGACCAAAGTATTCTCAAGCTGCATCCCTGACCAGGAGAAGGCACTCCTGGGGATTGATGGCTGTCAACTTGAAGAAGTGGACAGTTTTAAATACCTCGGGGCGCGGCTGCTGCCTAATGGACCGAGTAAGGACGACATTGTCTCCCGAATCGATGCTGCCCGCTGGGTTTTTTCAAGCCTTCGGAAATGCCTGTGGAACCGACGTGACCTCTCCATCGCCACTAAGATTCGCGTGTACCGTGCATCTGTCCGGTCTGTCCTTCTATACGGTTGTGAATGCTGGGCTTTGCGCGTGGCGGATGAGCGAAAACTGGAGGTATTTGACCACCACTGCTTGAGGATCATCCTTCGAGTGAAGTTAACCGATTTCGTCTTAAATGAGATAGTCCGCGCTCGCTACGACAACATCGCGAGGATAACTCAGGCCATCCAAGAAAGACGGCTGGGGTGGTTCGGGCATGTTCTTCGTCGTCCACCTCAGGAGCTCAGTGTTACTGCCCTCGATCCGGCACCGTTGCCCCATTGGAGGCGTCGAAGAGGGGGTCAGGTCAAAACCTGGCTCGACACTGTCCGTCAAGACATGGAGGTGGTTCTTGGACCTTCGGTATTCGGTCTCCGTCGTTGGCGAAGGGAATGGGTTGAGCTGTCTAGATCTGCCGCCGAGGATCGTCACGCGTGGAGAGGTACAATTCGGGACATCATCGAGGCCGGCTAGATCAGGCATGATCGCAGCCGTATCAAGTACAAGTACAAGTACCTGTCCATTTACCAGTGCTCCTCATGAGATGCAGAACAGAGTCCGCATCCATTGCAAAATTATGGACACTATATGATATCTTCCTAAAGGCATAGAATAATATGTGATTTTCTTTACGCAGAGCGCATGCACCTTGCAGGCTGGAGTTTTTAAGCGCTAGTGCAACGATTGGTCAGACTCCAAATTATTCGGCAATCCGAAAACCTTTTTAAAACCTAATTATACTTCATTCCGAGTACAAAAAGATGCGTGATTCTCTATTAAATGATTGAAACAAAGCATATTTTTGCTCGTGGTTTCTGTAAAATATATTTGCATTTGCAGGACCATCGAAAATCACAGGGAATGTGCATACTAATTAGGTAGTCATTTTTTCCGTACACGGATTCCACAAAAGATTTAAAAGCAGTCTATTTAAGAGCTAACATCCTGCGTGTCCAGAATATTTTAGGATTATGCCGCAAGATAATTAGTATTACAACCGCGCCTAAATAATCTTTCCCAATCGAAGGCGCATTTCAGAATTCCAGCCAACATTTCATGAGGCCGGTCTCTCACTGTACAGAATCGAGGTATTAAATGAGTTTTATAATAGTGGGTGTTTTGGCAGATTTTGAGTAATTCATTTTGACCTACCTGTGAAAACTCCGGGGACCTCGGTTTGATTTAGACCTACGACAGCAAGATAAAAGCCTGAGAACAGCAAACGCTTGAGCAGTCAGCTTACGGTATTCCATACATTGCAGTAGACTGGACGGATGACTTGACCCAGGTGTGATTAAACTTATGGCTCTCGGTGGAGCCTCATAGCTCTGGTGGTTAGAGTGTTGGCTGCCTTTTCCTTGCCGTCGTGGTTCGGGTCCCACTGAAGGTGCCGAGTTTTTCACATTCGAGTTAAAATTTATTTTATATCGTTTTTTAAAAAAATTAAAAATACTCAGCAGAAAATTAAGCTGCATACAGGCACAAATCAACAAAATACGGTTAACAGTCTAGAGATGAAAATATTTCCTTCAGGATCGAGAGTCAGGAATCTGTTTAATAAGCTACAGAAGCACGTTTAATAAGGTGCAAGTGTGTGACAATGCTTCTTAATACAAAACATGGCTAAAAATGCACGAAAGCGATGTCAATCGCGGAGTCCTTGAGCGAGAGCTTCAGTTTTGTTCGAGATTGCGCCAGTTCCAACGCCGCACCCAGTTAGGCGAAATTGAGAACACTGTCCTTACGTGTCCTTCCCATTGCAGGCCTTTTGTTTTGATTCAGACAGAGTTAAAAGGGCATCTCGAAGAAAGACTGAGGCGTCAAACTACGGCAAATGGCACCGCTTACGGACGAGCAAAAAACACAGCTTTACGAAGAATGGAAACAGATTTGCAAGAACAAGGAGGATAAGTTTGTTTTGGGATCGGAAATATTCAGACGGTAAATGGCATATATTTTTCTTTTCTTGCTTGTATCATGAAAATCAACATGAAATTTATCTTCAGATACCGGTGAAGTTGCTCTTTTGCATTCAAAAAGGATCGGATTAAGACTGATCGGATTGTGTATATCCCAAATTTAATTAGGAAACCTTGGAATATTAAGCCTAGTGAATGTGAACAGTCCACCTAATGTCGTAAACATGGCAACATATAATAAGTAAACTCTTTCCTTTCAGTTCCTTTATTTAACAAAGACATTTTCTTATAAAATCCATATAGTATAAATAAACTTTCGCCCTTTGTGTGTCGAAAATACACAGCTCTTAATGAGTTATACAGTGACCAACCGAAAGCAAAAACATAACTATGCGTACGTCACCTCTGCTCAGTATATACGGTAAATGTTCTAACTCATGAAATGTTAGCTGAAATTCTGAAGTGCGTGTTATAATGCTGATAATCGTGCAGTATGATCCCATAGTAACTTCAGGATGCCGGGCGCCCACAAAAAACCGCACTCTGTAAATGGACTACTCGATTGTTATGAATCTTTGCATTGGCTGTCGATGCACTAATAGATTCAAATATATTTCATAGAAAACATGAATCAGAATATTGATTCTTTTACTTATTTGGTGGAAAAGTACTTCTTCTTTATATTTTATACTTTGATAGAGGGCATTATGCAGTTTTAGAAAACTTTTCAAATTCTCAATTGATTTTTCTTACGACCTGCCATTACATTCGCATTCAGGGTTTCCAAACTACAAGCTGTATATTTGTTGGCCAAAATTTTGCAATGCATCCTCAGTCCGAAAAGATTACTTAAGTAGGGTTACAATATTAATTACCATGCATGATAATCCCAAGATTTCTCAATCATGTCAGGACGTCGGCCTTCGAATGGGCTTCTGATTAACCGTCTGCGTAAACTTTATTTCGTAAAAGTGGCTACCTAAATAGCACGATTTATTCTCACTGATTTTTGACGCGTTTATGTATTTAAATGTGTCTAACAAGGATATGGTGCGTAGTTTCCAGTTAAGATCGTCGTTGACTATAGTCCTAATGCCAGCCATAAAATGGCTGTAATTAGTAACCTTTACCAAGTACCCTTACGCATTTAAGGAAAACTCGAACGTAACGGTAACCTTAATCCTAGGCCTTAAACCCTTACCCAAAACTTAAGACCTTAGCCCAAACTCCTAACCATTATTCTAAACCTCGACCCTAGCCTCGACTGCAAATTCAGACTTTAAACCAAGCCTGACAACCTCAACCTAAGGAATAATCCAACCCCTCATACTAACTCTAAGTCCAACCGTATTCCTTAACCTGGCCTTGAACCTGACCCGCGGAACTTAAACGTTAACGACGTCAGTAAAGATCGAAATTCGTGCGTCTAATGACCCCTTTTTTCGATCTTTTGCCATATAAACCGTTGCGATCTACAGGATAACGTCCCCGACAAAGACAGGGGAGACTAGTTCTGGTTTATTATTCGTCGTCAGCCAGTCATACCCAACCCCGAGATGAGCAAATCCTGAGGCTCGATTCCGGGACCTGTTGGTCTGGTGGCCTAGCCATTTAGTCACGGGCTCCCGTCCTGTCGGTTGCGATCGGGTACATACAATGGTGGAGGGGCGCTCACCGATCATGT